AAGTAAGATTATAAGCAGGGTCACAGTCTCACCTGTGCTGACTTTGCTTAACAGCCAAGTTGCCGGTCTCAACTGTGGTTGCTAAATGAGGACTACAGCTAGTCCTCAACTTACAATCACAATTGGTATCAGAACTTCCACTGCTAAGCGAGGCCGTTATTGAGTCATGCCCGATTTTGCCTCCTTTTTGTTATGGTTGTTAAGTGGATCACCCTGGCTGTTAAGTGAATCACATGATTGCTAAGCAAATCTGCTGGCCCCCCCCCATTGACTTTGCTTGTTGTCAGTCACCTGGGAAGGGGACAAATGGAGATCGCGTGAGCCCAGGACACTTCAATGGTCATAAATAAATACATGCTGGTTGCCAAGTGCCTGAATATTGATCACATGACCATAGGAATGCTGTGACAATTGTAAATGTGAGGTTAGGTTGTAAGTCACTTTTTTTCCAGTGCTTTTGTAACTTCAAACGGTTGCTAAATGAACGGTTGTTAAGTCAAGGACCAATTTTCATCTTAGCAACTGCCAAATAGAGATCTACAATAGTCTTCAGAGCAGAATATGTTTATTTTACTTTTGGAATATAATTTCTTATAGAGAATATCGGGCAAATGACCAATACAATATAGCAGTGATGGCGAACCTTTTAGAGACCGAGTGCCCAAACTGCAACCCAAAACCCACTTATGTATCGTCGGGTGCCGGGTGGGTGTGGCCCATTGGCTGGGCGTGGCTGAGGTAACGGCAGACTGGGTGGGACTAAAAAGTTCAATCAATCAATTCCAACTTTGCAAGATTTTTTTTTCCTGCGAGAAGTTGAAATTGACTGATTGATTGAACCTTTTTTTTTTTTTTGCACATGGCGGTGGAGGCCTAAAGCGAAAAGGTTTTGTAAAACCCAACTGAAGGCCTAGGACTGGGGTGACGGCGCATGTGCCCACAGAGAGGGCTCTGAGTGCCGCCTTTGGCACCCGTGCCATAGGTTCGCCATCACTGCAATATAGGGTACCATCCCTTCAGAACAATAAATATTAGTATTATTCTCTCAAACCCACGAACATAGGTCTTCTCCTTTGCATTGCAGATCCCCCGCAAGTAATTGAGAAAGAAGACAGAACAGAAATAGTCCTTTCCAGGGAAAAGAATATGGGCCACCAAAACCACATCAAAAGCTACTTTCTGTGAGCAGCCTGGATGAATAATGATGACTATGGAAGAGATTCAAACACACCACCCACCCTAAACAAATCCAGTTCAGAACTAGACTATGAGGATGAAGATGATGAACGACAGGAGAAATATCCAGATACCTGCAGCCTCTTCTCCGATGACTCCATCTTCCCAGATTATGAAGATGCTCTATCTGACAGTGAGGACCACCGAGAGGTCACATTGTACTGGTGCTGTGTCAAGAACAATGCAAAGCGATTGCAGGATAAACTTGACATGGGGGTGACCAGGGAAGAAGCCATGGAGTTGGACATCAACGGACAGGTAATTGATCTGACACAGCAGGTGTGAACTGGAGATGAAATGGTCCTGTGATGGTGTAGTTCAACTGGGATACAGCTAGAACAAAGTTCAGCCTAGTAGGTCTTCTGTGGTCTAAAAAGGAATCCCTAGCTTTACTGATCTTAAAAGGTGGTCATAGTTAGTTACTTAAAGCTGGAAGCTTCTATTGCTCCAGAATCATTGGTCTATTTGTGGTTAGCACTCACTGCCATGAACGTACTACTCCATTGCTCCAAGCCCTGGCTGTACAGACTTCTGATTAGCTTCCAAATGCAAGTCAAAGTATTAGTGATTATGTATAAAGTCAATATGGCTTGGCATGGAAGTATCTTCTGGCTTTTTCAACCACAATTGTTTATCCCAGGAGAAACTGCTGGTAGTCACCCTTTCCACAAGGTATTTACCAAAGAAGCGCATGTCTTCTGTTTTTCTATGATAGCACTTTAGACTTTGGGATAACTTCCCTCTTGAATTGGGACTAGCCCTAACAGAATAACAACAGAATAACAGAGTTGGAAGGGACCTTGGAGATCTTCTAGTCCAACCCCCTGCTCAAGCAGGAAACCCTATACAATTTTAGACAAATGGTTGTCCAATCTCTTCTTAAAAGCCTCCAGTATTGGAGCGCCCACAAGTTCTGGAGGACAAGTCATTCCACTGATTAATTGTTCTAACTGTCAGAAAATTTCTCCTTAGTTCTAGGTTGGTTCTCTCTTTATAGTTTGGCCTTCTGGAAACTACTGAAAACAGAGCTGTCCCAGAGCACCTACAATGATCCATGATACAGATATTTTTACAATATTTTATTACACTGTACCACTGAGAAGCTAGGGATTGTAGCAGGTAATCTCTCAAAATAAATCAATGAATGCAGTCATTCCACAGATTCAACCTACCTTAATATGACTGCTTCATGAAGCAATTATCAACAAACTATTTGATATTTGTGCCTGGCTAGAGGATAGGGCGAACCATGAGCGAATGGCACAAAGACACAACCATCTGGGGCAGATCATTGGCCTATGTTGCCATTACTTTCAAGTTTAAGTCCTAGAGTGGAATTTATTCATAGTATTCCTCACCACCATCACCAATTCAGCTAAGAGCTAAAGCGAATACTTCTTTTTGGCTGCATCTGTGCTGCTAGGTAGACATAGATTCTCTTCATAATTCTGGGTTATATGGCTGCGATTTCTAGGTTTTATACACAGAAGTGGAAGAGATGCAACACTTGATTGGGGATCCTAGGAGATTAGGATGCTTGTCCAGGGCCACCAGTCCCACCCATCATACTTCCTTGAACATTTTATGTTGCTATATCCCAGTTTCTTCCATGCACCCTGTTTTTCTCTGTTGCCAATGAGTGCTCCTTCCAGCTAATCAGTAGGACAACCCCAAAATTGGGGGAGGGGGCACCATGCTTCACCTTCATTCTTTTTTCACAATGTCCTGAAGGCAGGACAAGAAGCAACGGATGGAAACTAACCAAAGAGAGAAGCAACCTAGAACTAAGGAGAAACTTCCTGACAGTCAGAACAATTAACCAGTGGAACAACCTGCCTCCAGAAGCGGTGAATGCTCCAACACTGGAAGTTTTTAAGAAGAGACT